GATGTTTAATATATATCTCCAAATCACGGTTGGAAACCTTTTCATTTTCTTTCAGTACTCGCAAGTTTGAAAAATATTTAAAATCGGATTGTGCCAGTGAAGATTCTAATAGCTCAATTTTTAGTTGAAAGATCATTTTCTCTTGCAAACGCTTCTGTACTATATTATTAATGATTTTCGATATATTACGATATTTTCTCTGTAAAGGACAAAATAACTACATTTAGATATAAAATACTTAGAGTGACAACCCAACTATAGTGTAACAGTGCAACGTATGTCAGTGTATAATGAACTACCAGCATTCATAACACATTTGCAACACTAGTACAGTTGCCAGATGCGTGAAAACAGAATAACACATGCTTAAAGCGGCATAGGCTAAGGCAAAACTCAAGTTATAACTAGGGTAGTCAGTAATGTTGTTGATCATATCCATATTTCGAATTTTTATTCGAATATTCTATTTTTTTCCTAGACAATTTAATTGATCCTCTTTGGTATTAATCGACCCCCTTTCAACCCTTGTGTATTAATTGACCCCTGGAGAACCCTTATCGACCACTTTGGGGACCCCTAATGTAGACTCAATCGATACAAAACATGTATACTACAAAAACAACAAAATAAGTTATTTACAAACAACGAAAAAAACTTTTACAGACAAATCAGTATGAAAACAAACACTGATACACAGCACAGCGGCACACCAACAGAAGAAGAACTCACAACTTATTGGTTCTCTCTTTGGTCCAATGTTGTTACACACAATGCTGATGCAAAATGGATCAAGGAGGAGAACAGAAACTTGTGCAACATACCAACTATGCCCTGTGCTGAAATAAACATACACAACATTCGCTACGCTGTTAACAGAACACACAACTGGAAGACACCTGGTGTAGACAACATTCACAATTTCTGGTACAAAAAATTTACATCACTGCACCAGGAAGTAGCTAAATACCTAACACACATCATCATCAATCCACAAGACATGCCAAAATTTCTTACTCAGGGCATCACCTACATGAAACCTAAAAACAACAAAACCACAGACCCCACACAATACAGACCAATTACATGTCTTCCAACACTCTACAAATTATTGACATCCTGTATCACAAACAAAATATACAAACATGTTGAAGAACACGACATTCTTACAGAACAACAAAAAGGTTGCCGTAGAAATCACAGGGGATGCAAAGAACAGTTACTCATAGATTCAGTCATTCTACGGCAAGCACACAAACAACACAGAAACATACACATGGCATATATAGACTACAGAAAAGCATTCGACAGTGTTCCACACAGTTGGCTGCTACATATTCTACACATGTACAAAATACATCCATCACTCATTGCATTCTTCGAAAACACTATGCAGCACTGGAGAACAACACTACATCTCAGGGTTAGTAACACTTCCATACAAACAAACGAAATATTCATTAGGCGAGGAATTTTTCAAGGAGATTCCTTGAGTCCTCTCTGGTTCTGCCTAGCCCTGAATCCATTATCCAACATGTTAAACAACACGCAATACGGCTACAATATCAGACACGAAAAAACAACACAGTTTACACTCTCACATCTCATGTACATGGACGACATAAAACTTTATGCATCCACACAAAAACAACTTCATCAACTCCTACAAATCACACATTCATACACTAAGGACATACAAATGGAGTTTGGCCTAGACAAATGCAAAAAACTTCACATAGAAAAAGGAATCCTGAAGAAAGAAGATTTTGCACTTGGAAATGGAGACGTTATTGAATCCATGGAAGAGGGCGAGTTCTACAAGTACTTAGGATTCCAACAGGCCAAACTAACAGAACATACACAAATAAAGCAACGATTAATTAAAGAATACCAAAGTAGGTTAAACGCTATACTTAGAACACAGTTAAATGCAAAACACACAGTTAAAGCAATAAACACATATGTCATCCCAGTACTCACATACTCTTTTGGAGTTATACATTGGACTCACACAGATCTCGAGCAACTCCAAAGGAAAACAAGAACAACACTTACTAAGCATAAACAACATCATCCTAAATCCGCCACAGAAAGATTAACCCTTCCACGTAAAGAAGGCGGACGTGGCCTGATTGACATAGTTAACCTTCACTACAAACAAATACAGTCACTGCGAGAGTTTTTCTACAAGAAACAAGAAACATCACAGTTACATAAAGCAGTAACTCTAGCAGACTCAAATAACACACCATTAAACTTACACTCACATCATACAGACATGACACAACACATAAAAAGCATAGACACCATCAAGCAATCGTGGGCTCGAAAGGCACTCCATGGCAGGCATCCTTATGACCTGGCCCAGGATTTTGTTGACAAAACTGCGTCAAACAGCTGGTTAGATCGGGGATGCCTCTTTGGGGAGACGGAAGGATTCATGATTGCCATACAGGATCAGGTCATAAATACTAAAAACTACAGAAAACACATACTCAAAGATACAACACTCACAAATGACACATGCAGAAAATGTCACATCATGCCAGAAACTATACAACACATCACTTCTGGTTGCAAGCTCTTGGCACAGACAGATTACTTACATAGACACAATCAAGTAGCAAATATAATACACCAAGAGCTTGCAAAGAAACACAAATTGGCAGACATCCACGAACCATACTACAAGTATATTCCACAGACAGTATTGGAAAATAACACGCACAAAATGTATTACGACAGAGCCATAATCACAGATAAAACAATTTACCACAACAGACCAGACATCACACTCATTGACAAACACAATAAAATCACATACATTATAGACATAGCCATTCCAAACACTCACAATGTACAAAACACATGCACTGAAAAAATTAGCAAGTACACAGAACTTGCCCAGGAAATAAGGCATCTGTGGAGGATGGATAGGGTGCTTATTGTACCTGTTGTTCTCTCCTGTACAGGTGTGATATCACACACACTACACTAAAGCCTGGGAACATTACAATTGAGTAGAAATACATACATCACACTACAGAAGGCCACTATATTGAATACATGCCACATTGTTAGGAAATTTTTGAATACAGACACACACACTGACACACTTATATAATTTTAGTTTTTTTTGGTTGCTATGCCTTGACTTTGGTCTGGCATAGTACACAGCCACTGGTGTGAACCGAGTATAACTCACAAAACCCAATAAATAATAATAATGTAATAATAAAAATGAATGTATGTCTGTCTGTCTTTCATGCATTACTACACCATTTATCTGATTGACATGAAACTTTGGGAAGTTGTTTAATACACTCCTGCGAAGGTTCCTGGCATAGTACATTTATGGTATGATAGGTGGCGCGCATGTATACGAGCCTGTCTGCTTGTCCTTTATGCATTACTACACCATTTATCCAATTGACATGAAACTTTGGGAAGTTGTTTAATACACTCTTGTGAAGGTTTCTGGCATTGAACATTTATCCTACAATAGGTGGCGTGTGTGTATACAAGCATTTCATACATAAAGTTGACATGAAGAGTGCAAGCGCATAAGTTTTCTTTATTTGAACTCTTCTTCCTAATGTTCGATTTTATGTTATTTAATGTTGAATTTATATTTATGAATGATTCTCGAAGATCCAGCTTATTTTTTGAATTTAGTAAACCTGAAGAAGAATTCAGAAAGAGTTACAAAAATATTTATTATCACTTAGTGGTACTATGTACTGGTTAGTGGTTGCAGTGAGTCTCAATTATCGTTATCCCAGTTATAGCTAAAAATTTTCTAATTAGTTTCAGAAGAGGGGGGACAGTCTTGCACTCAATAAAACGGGAAAGATCGACTATAATCTAATAATCTTAATATTTGCTATCCCGAGCAATGCTATTTATCTGCTAGTAATGTAATAAATATTGAATAATCTGACCACCACTTAAAAGGGGGGTTTTAGACAATTAATTAAACTTGCAATGCCTTACTAATTTCGACAATCATTTGAGGCCAAGAATTACTCAAAAGAAGTTTAACATCTTGGATAAGAACATTTGCTTCTTATAGTTTTGTATTTTTTTTCTGGATATTTGTTATATGTGTAGTGCAAATTCTTTTATTTGTATTCATCTCCAATCAGTGCCTTGTGGATTACTCTAATAAAAAGACATAATGCATGACAGAAACCACACTTAATTTTTTGTTTTCCCATCTCTCAATCACTGATTGTCAGAAATACTAGTGATTGACAGTTGGGAAAACAAAAAGTTAAGTGTGATTTCTGTCATGGATTAGTGAAAATGATACCTTTATATGATTTTCAGCAAATAACTGTAATGCTCTAATGTTTACTGCCACAATTTAGAGGCCCTGGTTAGAAAATAAAATAAAAAACCAAAAAACATTTCTGTATTTAATAAATTGTTGTACTGTTGTAGTTTTGCTGTGTGCTGTTATTTGTCATGGATTACATTTGTTTATACTGAGGTGGGATCAACAAGGCACCAATTCGAACTGCATATAAATAAAACAATTTGTTAATAAATTATTTTATTGTAATTGANAATTTCTATCTTTTAACTGAAAAATTGAAATTACAAATGTTACTATAATTTAGTTAGAGAGTATAAACATTGCATGATTTACATACACAATATGAATTAAAAAATGATATTATTGATCTAGTAAATAAAACAGTTTGGTTAAAAGAGAAAGAAACAACATATTGCATTCACATAAATACAAATTCTGATATTTTGAAAGGCTTGGTGTAAGAAAAGTTAAATTATTATTATGATCATTAGTTTCAATGTAATTATTACATGATATTTTGATATTTTAAATGTTGATTTCCAGATATTTCAACAAATTTATATTTTTATTCTTTAAGTTAATAATTGAAAAATAATTAGTTTCAATGTAATTATCACATGATATTTTGATATTTTAAATGTTGATTTCCAGATATTTCAACAAATTTATATTTTTATTCTTTAAGTTAATTATTGGCATCTGTATTTAATCTGAGCTAAATATGCCTGGACCAGAGAATGCTATTTACATTGTTGTGGGTGAAATGAGTATGGTGATGACAGCAATGAGGAGGACTAGTCGTTGGTCGTCACACAGTCATCAGGTAAAATATAATAATTTAGCATTTTAATATCAATTTAATGATTATTTATTTTGTTTTCTTAATAAATATTAATTGGTTCGAAAAGACATATGTTTTACAATTGTGCATCTTAGAACAAGAACATATCTCAACTGACATTTTTTTTAGGTAAAATAAGAAAGTTATACATTGAATAAACAACTAAAAGTAAAACTTTGAAGATTCAAATGTATGTCATCTATGTCCAGTAACTAGGGTCTTATTCTCTTGGTTATCGCTGATCTGGGACATGGAACTTCTAAAGATTTATAACCTAAACACTAAATTTTCAGAGGCTCAAGTTTTTGAAATGATTGAGAAGTGGGTTGTATTATTTGGTCAAGAAGCTGTGCTTAAGGCTATGTGCTCACCAAGTTCGTTTGAATTGGAGACCTGAACATCTGGCCCTCTCCTTGTTAGCAATAGCAATCATTTTTGAATAATTTTGAATAACACATTTGACCACAGTGTTTAAATAGTATTTCTGTTGTGTCAAAAATTTTGTGTTAGTCTACTGAAAAAAGATCAAAGTGGAAAAAATGTCATTCCAAAAAATTCCATAAAATTTCTGTCAGTCAATAAAAAATCTCACTCTGAAAATGCTGGGTTGGCATTGCACAAAATTTCTTTCTGTTCTCAATGTCACTTACTTTTCTGCTAGAACTTGCCATGTCACATTATGAAATCACTAGATATGTGGTGCACGGGACTCCCATTGTATGGAAGCTCGACATTTTGCTGTTTTTCCTGAAGTGTGATTTGTGATTCAATTTCATACTGATTGTTGAAACAAGCAGGATGGTGTTTTTATTGGTACTTGCTATTGTCAGTTTAATAAAAATATTGCCAAGTGGAATTTTGGTGCTATGCATTGTGACCCCTGAAATATTCAGCACCTGAAGGTGATTATTAAAAAATTATTGATTTAAGTAGATTTAGATAAAAATGCGTGCCAAGTTTGCGATATGCTGAGGGTTTTTATGTTGTTAATGCAAAGCTTTTGGCTTACTGCTTTATAGATGGTTTTACTTATTTTTAATTTTTGTATATCAAATCTTTTTCTTAATAATTTTACATTTTCCACTGCCTTAGCCCAGTATGCTAGCTAGCCCAGGGTTTCCCCATGTTGGGAAGATGCAAAATTATTAAGAAAAATATTTGATGTGCAATAATTATGAATATGTAAAATCATCAACGTCTATAAAGCAGCAAGCCAAGGGCTTCGCATTAACAACATAGAAAGCCTCAGCATATCAGAAGTTCGGCAGGCATTTTGATTTAAATATACTTAAATCAATAATTTGTTAATACAGTGGGTGATCGGTTAACGAACAGATCGGATAACGAACAAATCGGATAACGAACACTTTTGCAAAAGATTTTTATGTTCGGACAATGAACACATGATCGGATAACGAACACCCCACAGAACAAACACAAGAAGAAGCGATATAAAAGAATGAATACCGATTGGTCTTCCCTTGTCTTCAGACAACAATTCGAAACTTTTCGGAGTGCGGGAGACGTCGACATCGACGCTCAAGCCGGTATATACCGATCGGATAGTATTCCTCCGAACTTTGAAACTCTCCCTTGTAATTCCAGCCTTTTATTTTTCTGACAAAACAATTCTTTTATGTATTTGCGAGACTGTCGGGTAGGCACTCGTTAAGTTCTGTGTCTGTTTTTCTTTTTGAAAGGTAAGAATATAATAGCAAAAGTGGGCAGAAGATGCCTAATGTTGCTGGGCAGTATGGCATGAACAGGTCTACAGTAGACCGCAGTTCAATCTTATTTAAGAAAAATACTGTATGATCAAGAAGACTCAAGCAGCTAAAGGAGTAACAAAAATTACATCTGAGAAATAAAGAATATCGAAGAGTTCATAATGGAACCCGAAACGGATCTGACGACAGAAAAATGCCAAGAACCCTTGAATGAAGAACACCAAGAAACTTGGTGAGATATGTTTTCTTTTAAGAAAGAGGATTAATGCCGATATCTGTTATTAAAGATCCTTTGAAGAAGTAGGAGGATGTCAAAACAACGGTCTTAGAATGGCATCCAAACCAGGTTGAGGCTTGGGGATTTCTACAATTGCAATTACTTACGAAAAATCCTGAAGAGAGAAAAGCAATCGACATTAGACATATTCTTTAACCCTTTCAAACAGAAAAAACATGACTAATAAAAACGCAAGACTGTGTATGGATGTATTTTTATTATTACATAAAATAAATGTAGTAAAATAGTATATATTTTTTTATTTTTGGGGGTCTCCGGAACGAATTAATTAAATTCTCATTAAAACCTATGGTAAATCGATAATCGGTTAACGAACAATTCGGATAGCGAACAAAGTCTTGGAACGGATTATGTTCGTTAACCGATAACCCACTGTAATCTCATCCATGTGCTTAATATTAGAGAGGTTGTGGCCAATGTTTTTAACGCGAAAACGTGTACGTCAGACGTTCAGTGCCGCCTTCCTGTATACCTAGAAGTTTGACAATGGCATTTGAAATGTCAATGGGATCATGCTCAACGTTCCAAATGCCATTGTCAAACTTTTAGGTTTACAGGAAGGTGGCGCTGAATATCCGATGTACACGTTTTCGTGTTGAACATGTCGGCTGCAACCTCTCTATTTATTATAAGTTCTTTTATATTTCATTTTAATAATTTTATTTAAATTTATAAATCTCAAGTTACATCATAAATTTAAATAACCTCCAAAAAAATTTTGAATTGTTCCACTTTGGAACACAGTATAATTCCATTTAATTGAAACATCTTCCGATCTTAACAAGGCTTGTAAATCAAGCCAAAAATGTTCATTAGAACTATAAAGAAGTGCTGGAAATGTACGAAAGGTGTGTTTGTTATATATAATTATAAATAAATTAACATTTAATTTTTAATTTAGAAATATCTGGAAGAAAAGAATTGGCCTGGAGTGGGACTCAAACTCACAACTCCCGCTTACAGTGGGGATGCATTGCCAGTTATGCTACCTGCACCTCTTCTTATCTTTGCCTCTGAAACTAATAATAATTTAGATATAACCAAAATGGTTACTTATGGTGCAAACTGGGGACAATATAAGCATCCACTTAATAGGTCCTTCATTGCATTCAGCTGGCTTTACCTCTTGCATGGAGTATATATACAAATATAAACATCTATTAATTTGATTTTTGACTAAAGTCAAGTGATCTGGATTAAATCAGGCCATAATCAAGCAGATTGTTTGGTCTTATATTTCTGAAATCAGTTGTCAAACATTTTTAATTAATAAAATAACTATGTAATTACCGAAAAACCAGCAATAATTCTCTTCAAAATGAACGTTTTCTACTGTCTTCAATGGTCATCATCAGGTTCGATACCAAGAGTTCGAAAAATTGAACATCGAAGTTATGCGCATGTCTGATGCAGAGCCTTAATAAAATTATTTGTGTAACTGGTTTCCTGTTTTAAAAATTCCAATGTTTATATAAAACATGTAGACGTATATGATGCAAATCTATTATGTCATAATATGCCCTCCACGCCGTAGCCAGTGAGTCCGTTTCCTTAAAATTGATGGCTGTTCCTGTCCTGAATGCTTTAAAAATCTCCAGCTGTTTTAGATATTTCAGGCTGGCCTGGTGTTCACACTCATTGGCGAGGGCATATTATGACGTATAATAGATGCGCATCATATATGTCTACATGTTTTATATAAACATTGGAATTTTTAAAACAGGAAACCAGTTAAACAAATAATTTTATTAAGGCTCTGCATCAGACATGCGTATAACTTCGATGTTCAATTTTTTGAACTCTTGGAATTGAACCTGATGATGATCATTGAAGATGGAGAAAACATTTGTTTTGAAGTAAATTATTGCTGATTTTTTGGTAATTACGTAGTTATTTTATTAATTTTCACACCAGTAGTGTTGGTATTGATGGATGATCATTTTTAATTATTTTTTTAAGTATTATTCTAATAAAAAATAAATAATATATATAATTTTTTGCAATTTAGGAAGAAGAACAAGATTCTCTGCTTCGAAATATGTCAAATTTAAAAGAAATCTTAAATCATATCAATGATTTATCTGATTTGGAACCAACGGTTTTTCTTTCACCTTTTCTTGATGTAATAAGATCAGAAAATATTCCTGCTCCTATAACTGGACATGCACTATCTGCAATTCATAAATTTCTTTCTTATGGATTAGTTGGTAAGAAAATTTAGATTGAGAAAGCCTAATTTGATTGACTAATTATAATTTATTATTATAAATTATTAAAATGATTTTCATTAAGGAATTTTGCAGGATAAATAAACCTCTGTATTACAAAGTAGATTAGTTAATTATTTTAAGAAATGGTTTAAAATAAAGTAACTAAGCTAAACTACTACACAAAAATTTAAATTTTGTTGGGATAAACTAATATTTTTATTATTTAACATTATGTAAAATGCATATTATGAAAATACAGTAGAACCTCGAAAACTCGGCTCTCGATAACCCGGCACTCCGGATAACTCCGCCACACCCTGGCAGGGCAAAAAAATCCTTAGTTAATTAATTTTCATTATAGACAGCTTTATAAAAGTATAAAAGCTCTCATAAAGTATTTTTCTGAGGTCTGTCTTATCAGGTAAATTACTGTACACAGTGTATTCATTAATTTTCATTTTCATGTAGTAAAGGCTCTATGCCTTCATAAAGGACGTACTTTTTCTTTGTTTAAGGGTATTTGGGCAGTTTATTCTCTGTTATATTCTCAAGTAAACAATACATACAAGTACAGTACAGTATTTTCTGAGGAAACACTCGTACTTATTCTTTTTTAACCCCATTTTCGATAACCTGGCATTTTCACAAACTCGGCCACCCTTCGGTCCACATTAGGCCGAGTTTTCGAGGCTCTACTGTAATATAATTTTTGGTAGTGTGCATTAAATTTTAGACTTTATAAAATTTAACTGTGTTAAAATTTTTAAAATGTCCTGTTTAGTGAACACTACTTTATTGAAGAATTTAGTTGGAAAACTAAAAAAAAGAAAGAAAAAATATCTGAATGCTTTCAAGCTTTTAAATCATCATCAGGAGTACTCAGTAAATATTACTGCCAAAAAGGAACTTTGGAACACCAAAATCTCAAATTTGAAAATGTTCTAGTTTTCACTAAATTTTAAACTTATAAGTGCATGTCTTAATGTTGCCAGCCAGCATTCATTAGTTTCTGGAATACTTACAACCATTAAATTTTCTTTGCAATTTACATAGAATGATTTCTCCCTGTTTTAAAAGCCCCACTCATTTAAAAATCAAGACTTTTCATAAAAACTGTAGTTTTAAAGAACTATGAAATATCATATGTCCTTTTCTATGTTTACCTTGATCATGCCTTTTCATCTCTTCTAACACGCTTTCATGCCTCATATGAATTTTTGATGTTGACTGCTAATAAGTTTAAGTCAGTGTTTCTCAACCTCTAATTGCCAGTTATGCTACCTGCACCTCTTCTTATCTTTGCCTCTGAAACTAATAATAATTTAGATATAACCAAAATGGTTACTTATGGTGCAAACTGGGGACAATATAAGCATCCACTTAATAGGTCCTTCATTGCATTCAGCTGGCTTTACCTCTTGCATGGAGTATATATACAAATATAAACATCTATTAATTTGATTTTTGACTAAAGTCAAGTGATCTGGATTAAATCAGGCCATAATCAAGCAGATTGTTTGGTCTTATATTTCTGAAATCAGTTGTCAAACATTTTTAATTAATAAAATAACTATGTAANGTCCAGAAAATTGTTTTTTGCCCCCCAAAATATAAATTGTTACTAATCGCCCCCTGAACATGGAAAAACGCTCACATGGGAGTGGGAGCGATATTGCCCCCGTTGAGACACACTGGTTTAAGTTCTTCCATAACCATTGTTTTTCAGTATAACAAATATTCTCATCCTATTTTTTCCCTTTCAATAATCTTGTTTAACAAATACTGTTTTTTATTTGTATTTTAATGCATTCTTTATTAAATCATTATCATTCTTCCTCTCAAAATTCTTAACATGTTTCAATTATGACTCAAAACTTTCATTGCACTTATATAATACTTACTTTCAGTTTTTTCTTTCATTTGTACTGAATAAACTTCTTTTTTATTTCGTATTAATCTTATCTTAAATTCCTCAGCCCATCAAATATAGTGGCATTGTTCTTAAATGCTAATTTTTTTCCTCAGTCACTTTAGAAATTTCTAGAGTTTTATATAAATTTTGACTTCAATAATCAACATAATGCACTGAAACTGTTCTGTTTTCTCTCTCTTATTTTCAGCACTGTAACTTATCCCCTATTCCTAGAACTATTTTTCTGAACTGTTTTCTTTTCATTCCTTGTTCTTGTGCAATCTTTTGCAATAATTCCTTCTGACCTTGTAGGCATTTGTAGTTTGATGACAGAAGGATTGTTTTGCTAATCAGCACTTTAAAAGCAGCTTTATGTATCTATAAAGATCCCTCTGAATCAGACAGAATTGGGATAAAAATGTCCTCCTTATGAAGTTTTATCTCATGTCTTTCAATATTTTTAGTAATCCATATGTCCAAAAATTGTGTATACTCAGTGGCAGATTTATCACTTGAGAGGCCCAAGCGCAATTCAATTTTGAAGCGCCCTCTAAATATTTTCACTACCCCTATACCCTACAGTATGCATTCTATGTGCACATTTTTTACTCTGGCAGGCACTATACTGGTTATCCAAAAAAGTGAGACATAGAGAAATAACATTGAAAATTAACCAATATAAAATTACAACTGCATGACTGTATTTAAAAAGTTACTGATGTTTGGATTATATTAATAATGAAAATTATTAATACAATCCAAACATCAGTAACGTTTAATAATTCTTGTACCAATAAGTTTCAATTGTATTAATAATAAAAATTATTAATACAATTGAAACTTATTGGTACAAGAATTATTAAGTTTCAATAGATAGAAGTGTTAGAAACAAAAAATCTAGTAATCCATGGATATAAACAATTTATTTTAAAATTTACTACTGATTACCACCCACAAAACATGTCATAACTGGTGTTATTCATTTGTCAATTTAATTTAGGAAATACTGCTAAATTATTAATTATTATTGTTGTGAAAAAAATAAATAAATAAAAGATTTTTTTTATTTTGAGAGCTGAATTTTGAGGCCCCAGGCATATGCCTTGTGTTCCTATGCAGAAATCTGCCACTGTGTATACTCTCTCTCCTGATTCTTTTTCACTTTAAGCTTCAGTTCTAAACTTGCATCTGAAAATTTCCTAAATAAAATCATTAAGCTTTATCTTTCTCCTTTAATTAAAAAACCAACAAGTCATTAATATATTGTCTATTTTTCATTCTTAAGCTTTTTTAATATCTTTCTCTCTATCCTTACTACTGTTTGATATGTCTGGCTAAAGGTGAAGAGTAAAAAATGCCTGCCAGAGTAAAAAATGTGCACATAGAATGCACACTGTAGGGTATAGGAGTAGTAAAAATATTTAGAGGGGGGCTTCAAAATTGAATTGCGCTTGGGGCCTCTAAAGTGCTAAATCTGCCACTGAGTATACACACTTTTTGGACATATGGATTACTAAAAATATTGAAAGACGTGAGAACTCTTCTAACGGGAACTCTTCATTTTGTCTATGTTACCTTACTTGAAACTGACTTTTATCAGTATCAGAGAACACCTAGAGAGAGAAGAAGGTTTTAGAAAGATGAGATTTGGTGTGCTGTCTGACTTATGACATCTGGTGATCTTTGAATTGTAGTTTCAGTTTTAAGAAAGCTATTATTCCTTTTTCAGTTATACACTTTTCTGTATACACACATCATCTAAGGATTCTGCAGCTTACAAGAAAGTTTCTTTTATTGCCTTAATACGTAGAGCCTTAAACATATTCTTTAATTGAAATCTTGAAAAAGCAACTGTCATATATAGAAACTTTAGCTTCTGCACACAGCTTCACTCGTTGCTTTATTTGGAAGTTAGTCCAGAAATTTTGTTTTATCAAATAAGTAGTATGTTAAAAATGTGTTTTGGACATGTATCTCTTTGTGCATTCATTTATGTAAAATTACAGTTATTGAGAAGTTTATTATTGCAAATTCAAATGAAGATATACATTTGGTTTTGTAGTAAAAAATCCCCAAAAATAATTTATAACATTTGAAAAGAAATATTGGAAAATATATTGATTTGATTTTTTTTTAACTTGAAATTTTATTTACAGATTCTAAATATGAATCAGCTGCAGTTGCTGTAGAAAATATTGCTGATGCTGTAACTCATGCTAGATTTGTTGGCACTGATCAAGGAACGGATGAAATTGTTTTGATGAAAATATTGCAAGTGCTTCGAATGTTGCTTCTAACACCTGTTGGAATGTTGTTATCTGATGATTCTGTTTGTGAAATAATGCAGTCCTGTTTTCGTTTATGTTTTGAAACTAGGCTAAGTGGTAAATATTGATGTTTTAATTACTTATTATTATTAAATTAATTTTATTAAGTTAAATGTTATAGACCAGGGGTGTCCAACCCGCGGGCCGCATGCGGCCCAAGGCAAGTTTCAATGCGGTCCAATAAACGTGTAAACAAAACCAACAAATGTTTTAATTTTTTTATTATTTATTTATTTCAATGGCATAAACTCAAAAAAAAGTTTCACAAAGTCGTAAACCTTTATTTATATTTTATTTTTGAGTGGAAAAGAAATATTTTCAAATACTTGGAGATGTGTGAATGAGGAAGGATTACTAAATAAAGCTGCAGTTGTGACTCAAAGAATTATAGACCCAAATTTGGGAAAAGGACAAAGGTAAGAAAAGACAAAATATAAAAATTAAATAGATCTTCTGTTATGCAAATATTGACCCTTAATTTTCCACTTCTTTCTCTTTTCTCCTTTCTCTCCTTTCCCTGCATTTGGGTCTATAATTCTTTGAGTCACAACTCCAGCTTTATTTAGTAATAGTATTTCTTCCAACGTTGCAAGATTTGGCTACATTGCGCCAAATGTGGCTACTTTTTTTGTTTGACATAAAAATTATCATTTGGTGCATTGGCTACTTCTTGGGTTACATTTTATTTATAAATATACTGTATTAGTTGAATGAAAATGCACTTTAAAATGGTGTTTTGTCGCTTTTTATTAATTAGAGACCCAAATAAAACAAATATTTGTGTTTTTCAAATAAATTTCCTTTAGTCTCTTTTTCTTTTCTTTTTATAATAAATGAATTTATCTATTTCTAAGTAAAAATTGAAAGTGTCTGTA